TTTGTGGAAGTTAAATTTTTCCCACTGACTCTAGTGCTGGATAATCCCTGCTCTTTACATTGTTGGTTTAAAACCCTGGGAGGATTCTGCCCCTGGGGAAAGATATTTGTATTTCAAGGTGGGAATTCCTGGAAAGGCCTTGGGAGTGGTGCCCCTGTGGGAGCTCAGATCCCTGCAGAGACCTGCAGCTCGACGAGCTCCGTTCCTTCCAGCATTTCCTGGGGCAGCTTCAAATTCTCTGAGACTTTGGATAAAGGCAGGGATTTCTCCTGGGAGCCCCAGCCCCAGTGTGGGGCTGCACTGAGCTCTGGCTCTGCTGAAGGCCATTCCTGTCCAACATCAGATGGAGAAATTATCCTCCCTGCTGCTGCTGCTCCTGGAGAAATTATCCTCCCTGCTCCTGTCACCCTGCCAGAAATGAGCATTTTAAGGAAACAAACCATGGAAAGAAATCTCCTTTTGCCCCTGGAGCCAGTGGTTCTGACACTGCTGGGCTGTCAGCAGAGGAAACTCAGCACAGATTTGACCCCACAGCTCCACACAGGCAAATATTGAGATTAATTTCAGTGACCAGAACTTCTTGTAACACCTTCACTAAGATTTCATATTCCAGAATATGCCAAAAATCAGCTCTTTGGGGAAAAAAATATGTAAAAATATTAAAAAAAAAAAACCATGTAAAGGTGTAAAAAGCCTGTAGCTCTTGCAGGTCAGACTGCTCCTAAAGTAATATTTTCCACCAAGAGAAGCACCACCCAAAGCTTTTATGACTTTTGCAGGATAAAACCATCACCTGCTGAGGAGGGATTCCCAGGACATTATCCACAGGGAGCCTTGGAGCTCGTCTGTATAATCCCAAATAAATGTTGAGGTGTAAAAAGCATTATTCTCTATGCCACTAAAACACAACAATACAATTTAAGAGAGCTGAAAACCCCCAGTCTTATTGTAAATAAGTTAAAAAATAAAGAATGGTAGGGAGCAAGTTATTTCTACATATAAATCAGGATGTCTCAAGCTCCCAGGCACTGAAGGAGCAGCTTATTTAGGAAAATGGAATCAGCTCTCACTCCATAGGAAAGCTTTGTGCTCTCTGAAGGGGATAGAACTTCATGTCAAGAAGGTGCTTTTAAAATTTTTAATTAATTTTTTTTTAATTAATGCTCCAGGATGTTCACACAAAGGCACAGCTATCGACCACTGGATAGGATATATTTTTAATTGGGAGAGGCCTTGCCAGCTGAGCTATAAAAAAAGTACAAGCTGTTAAATAGAATAATGGTGAAGAAAGACTTGGGGGAAAAAAAGTAATGAGAGAAAAAAAAAAAAAGGAAAAAATCTTTAGTTAAAAGAGACTTAGCAGGATTTTGGAGCTGAAAAACCATGAACCTTATCATGAGCATCACAAATGCTGCTCAGGGATGCAGGGATCCTGAAGCCATGGAAATGGCTCTGGGATCCAGGATTATCTGACAGGAGTCCCATGGAAATGAAGAGAATTCAGATTTTGGCGCTGTGCTCACACACATCCAAGGCTGATCACACCCATCCCATGGGAATGGAGAGAATTCAGATTTTGGCGCTGTGCTCACACACATCCAAGGCTGATCACACCCATCCCATGGGAATGGAGAGAATTCAGATTTTGGCGCTGTGCTCACACACATCCAAGGCTGATCACACCCATCCCATGGGAATGGAGAGAATTCAGATTTTGGAGCTGTGCTCACACACATCCAAGGCTGATCACACACATCCCATGGGAATGAAGAGAATTCAGATTTTGGAGCTGTGCTCACACACATCCAAGGCTGATCACACACATCCCATGGAAATGAAGAGAATTCAGATTTTGGAGCTGTGCTCACACACATCCAAGGCTGATCACACACATCCCATGGGAATGAAGAGAATTCAGATTTTGGAGCTGTGCTCACACACATCCAGGGCTGGCAGTGGTGCTCTCAGGGCAGGGCACTGTGGAACAGGGATGCAAGGAACCAAGAAGGAATTGAATTTTCCTCTCTCAGGCAGAACGAGGGGTGGGAGCTGCAGATCCTGCAGGTGTCACTGCTCTGATGCTGACTCGAGGCAAACACAGCCAGCTTGGTGTGAAATTAAACACTTGAATTGCTTCTGCAAGTGTTTTTTATGTGAAATAAGTCTCAGGAGTGCTAATTTTGGTTCTGTTGCATTCCTTTTGCCTCTGGGGAGGGTAACTGGGAGCACAGCCCTAACAAGACTGCTGGAATACCCAACTGTGACTTTTTTCTGGCTCAGACATGGAAAAAAATCTTCCATCCCCACCTTCCAGCAGTGTCCAAGCATCCCTGCAGTGCTGGTGGTCACCCTTAGCCCTGAAATTCTCTGTGCAGCAGCAGCCAGGCTCTGTCCCCTGAGCTCCTGGGGTCTCCCCTTGTCACCATGGTCTTTTCTGAAAAATCCTTTGCCGGGATTTTTTGTCCCCAGAAACCTCAGAGGGAAAGAAAAACAATAATTATCTGCTGCTGTGGAATGCAAAAGGTGCATCTTTGATTGGTCCATGTTGGTTGTTTCTACTTAATGACCAACCATGGTCCAGCTGTGTGGACTGTCTGAGAGCCACGGGTTTTTGTTATTCCTTATTCCATTCTATTCCATTCCATTCCACTCCATTCCATCCCATTCTTTCCTGGCTTTCTGTCTGTATCATTTCTCTATTTCTTTTAGTATAGCATTTTTAATGTAATAGAATGTCATGAAATAATAAATCAGCCTTCTGAAACATGGAGTCAAGATTCTCATCTCTTCCCTCGTCCTGGGACCCCCGAACACAACGACAGCACCTGGAGCAGCAGAGGGGATGCTGAGGTGGAGAAGGAAGGGTTAAATTCCAGCCCTGTGGAGAAGGGTTAAATTCCAGCTGAGTGGAGAAGGGTTAAATTCCAGCTTGGTGGAGAAGGGTTAAATTCTAGCTGGTGGGGAAGGGTTAAATTCCAGCTTAGTGGAGAAGGGTTAAATTCCAGCTTGGTGGAGAAGGGTTAAATTCTAGCTTGTGGGGAAGGGTTAAATTCCAGCTTAGTGGAGAAGGGTTAAATTCCAGCTTGGTGGAGAAGGGTTAAATTCCAGTTTGGTGGAGAAGGAAGGGTTAAACTCCAGCTGGGTGGAGAAGAGTTAAATTCCAGCTGGGTGGGGAAGGGTTAAATTCCAGCTGGGTGGAGAAGGAAGAGTTAAACTCCAGCTGGTGGGGAAGGGTTAAATTCCAGCTTAGTGGAAAAGGGTTAAATTCCAGCTTGGTGGAGAAGGAAGGGTTAAACTCCAGCTTGGTGGAGAAGAGTTAAATTTCAGTTTAGTGGAAAAGGGTTAAATTCCAGCTTGGTGGAGAAGAATTAAATTCCAGCTGGGTGGAGAAGGGTTAAATTCCAGCTTACTGGAGAAGGGTTAAATTCCAGTTTGGTGGAGAAGGAAGGGTTAAATTCCAGCTGGGTGGAGAAGGAAGGGTTAAATTCCAGCTGGGTGGGGAAGGATTCAATTCCATCTGGGTGGAGAAGGGTTAAATTCCAGCTTAGTGGGGAAGAGTTAAATTCCACTGGGTGGAGAAGGGTTAAATTCCAGCTGAGTGGGGAAGAGTTAAATTCCACTGGGTGGAGGAGGGTTAAATTCCAGTTTGGTGGAGAAGGAAGAGTTAAATTCCAGCTGGGTGGGGAAGGGTTAAATTCCAGCTGGGTGGGGAAGGATTCAATTCCATCTGGGTGGAGAAGGGTTAAATTCCAGCTTAGTGGGGAAGAGTTAAATTCCACTGGGTGGAGAAGGGTTAAATTCCAGCTTAGTGGGGAAGAGTTAAATTCCAGCTGGGTGGGGAAGGGTTAAATTCCAGCTGGTGGAGAAGGAAGGGTTAAACTCCAGCTGGGTGGGGAAGGGTTAAACTCCAGCTGGTGGGGAAGGAAGGGTTAAACTCCAGCTCAGAGGGGGCTCTGCTGCTGGGGTGCTGAGGCCAGCTGAGCCTTCAGGGGCTCGGCCCCAGCTCCTCTCCGTGCTCAGCATTTCCATCCAAGCCCAAACCCTGGGCAGAAACGCCCAAAATAAATCAGATTACTTTCCTGAAAGAAATCAGATTCACTTTTCTCTCAGCCCACTCTGCCTGCAAACCTGGGAGGGAAAATGCCAGATTTTATCAATGCCCTTTTACAACTGTTTGCTGCTTTTAATGCTAAACACAATTTTGTCTTTGCATCTCCAGGCCTCCTTTTCCTCCCATACATTGAGCTCTAGATAATTATTCTAATTAAAACCAGGTAAAAACCAACAAACTCAACAGAAATATTTCCCCTTATAAAAACCATGGATAATTCCCTCTCATATCCATTCCTTAGATGCTTCATTACAGTTTTTATTTTGCTGCTCTGATGTTCTTCTCTTCCTGCCAATGCAACTCTTATATATTGATTAATTCCTGTAGCAATTATGGCAAAATACATGACATTTGCCATAAAAAGTGCTATTTTTTCATCCTGCTTAGTGGGCAAAATAAAACACTCAGCCAGACACTTTCTTCATTACATAGTAAGTTTGCAATGTTTTAATAGCAAAATAAACAAGAATCTGTTTAAATATTCCCCTCTGTGTGTAACAGCTCCCCATTTCATTATACAAATGTGTGAAGTGTTCTCTAGAAATTAGATCACCATACAGAATAATGAAAATAATAATTAAAACTGGGTCAGAAGTCGGGGTATTCAAAGGAAAAGACTGAAAAGAGAAATTATAGAAGGTCAAAAGTGGTTTTTTTTTCAATATATGGGAATCTCAAGGTAAAAAGCACAAAATTGAGAGGTAATTGGGATATTACAGGTTAAATACCACATAAAATTACAGATTTGAAATGGAATGTCTCTCAAAATCAAGGTGTTCTGCTGCACAGGTGAGCTTGGCAAGGTGCTGCTTATCAATAAAGGAAAAAACCAATTAAAAATTGTTTCCTGGGCTCCTCCTTCCCTCACCTGCCCATAAAATGTGTGTTCTCATGGTGTGACTTCAGCACAAGTCTTCCTGAACTCGCAGATGAAGGAAGAGATCCCCCCAAAGAGCTCCTGGGAGTCCAGGTCTGCCGGCTCCCCAAACCTCACCTGCAATTGGAAATAAAGAATATTTCACTTCAGCACACCTGAGTGATCCAAGCCAGGAGCTTAATGAAATTCAAAGAGCAGAGAAAAGTGAAATTCCTCCATTACTGTTCATATTAATACAAAGAAAAAGAGGAACAAGAGGTAAAAGAAGAAGGGGAAGAGGAGGAAGAAGCAAACTTTGAGCTGTCTGAAGTCTCCAGGGAACTGAGATCCAAAATATCCCAAATAAAAGTGATCTAGGGAGCTGACACGGAATTACCTCAGTAACCTGGGTCAATCTCTCTGGCTGGACCACAAATCTCCAGCTGGAGAGGAGAAAATTCAGCAAATCCTGAAGTTTTCTGGCTCTGCAGCTTGGCAGGTGAATCCATTCATGAAAGAAAATGTGCACCAAATGTCCTAATCCCAGGACCGGGATGTTGCTCCAGTTTCAGAGGTTATCACTGCATTTCTGTCCCTTTCCTTAAGATCTCTGACCACTGTTAACTATGGGATTTTCTTTCTTTTTCTACAGCCAGAATAAATATATGGCAAGTGGGAATTTCTTGCACTGCTTTCCCCTCCTTTCTTCCCTTTTAAAAAAGAAATGTAGCTTTATTTTCATTGCATTTTAATATGATATGTACCAGCACGTTGCTATAAAGCTTCTTCATTTCCTCACATCTTTTTGACAGCTGGGAGAGATCTCCTTCATATTTCTGAATTAAATCCTGTAATAAAATAAAATTTCTTAATTTGCTGTAGGAGCATAGGATTAAAGCAGGAATTAAACAGCAGTGAAAACATGGGATGTTGCTCCAGCTTCAGAGGTTACCACTGCATTTCTGTCCCTTTCCTTGAGATCTCTGACCACTGTTAAATATGGGATTTTCTTTCTTTTTCTACAGCCAGAATAAATATATGGCAAGTGGGAATTTCTTGCACTGCTTTCCCCTCCTTTCTTCCCTTTTAAAAAAGAAATGTAGCTTTATTTTCATTGCATTTTAATATGATATGTACCAGCACGTTGCTATATTTCTGTCCCTTTCCTTAAGATCTCTGACCACTGTTAACTATGGGATTTTCTTTCTTTTTCTACAGCCAGAATAAATATATGGCAAGTGGGAATTTCTTGCACTGCTTTCCCCTCCTTTCTTCCCTTTTAAAAAAGAAATGTAGCTTTATTTTCATTGCATTTTAATATGATATGTACCAGCACGTTGCTATAAAGCTTCTTCATTTCCTCACATCTTTTTGACAGCTGGGAGAGATCTCCTTCATATTTCTGAATTAAATCCTGTAATAAAATAAAATTTCTTAATTTGCTGTAGGAGCATAGGATTAAAGCAGGAATTAAACAGCAGTGAAAACAAAATCATGTCATAAAAATTTCACATTTCACAAAAGAGAAGCACACACATTCCCTTGCAAGAATTAAGACATCAAAGACAAAAAAAATAAATAAAATAAAAGGAACATTAACATTAGAGAATTTTAAGTGTATTATAAAATGACAAAACCTAAAAAGTGGCAGAGCCAGAGAAGCATCACAAGGCCCTGATTTCCAGAATATTTGGCCTTTTTTCCTGTGCAGCAAACACTGCCACTTCCAGGTGCTTAAGGGGCAGAAACAGGGCTCTAGAAACAAGCCTGGAAATAAAATTTCTTAACTTTGCCTTGTTTGTAACACGCAGATTTTAGATTTTTTTTTTTTCTTTTTGAATTCGGAAAACTTTTGCCTTGTTTGTAACACACAGATTTTAGATTTTTTTTTTCTTTTTGAATTCGGAAAACCATTTAAAATTATGAGCTAGTATTGGGTTAAACTACAGAGTTAGTGTAGGGACTAATTAGAGGGTTAACTTGGTTTAAGTATAAGTAGTTGGAGAATAAAAAGTAGGATCTTGAAAATATATGTGTTTTATAGCTGATTATATAAACAGATGATAAAGTATATGAAAATTGGTTATAAATACTATAATAATACTTTATAAATAATGTTTATTATAAAAATAAGTAGATTTATATTATATAATTAATATATTAGTAGTAAATGTTTGAGGAAATGAATATTTTTTAAACATTTATGCAGTATTAACAGTAGTAACTATTAATTAATATTATTTATAGAAGACAAAACAACTGTGAAAGAAACACCTGGAAGCACAAAGAGGCGTGGGACAGCACAGGTGGACATGGCCACTCAGAGTGGGGACACCTGAGCTGCCAGCAGCCCTCCAGGGCAGGCTTGGGTTGGACTCCAGGATGGATTTCCCATCCAAAAGGATTCCCAGCCCTGGCACAGCTGCCCAGGACAGGCTTGGGTTGGATTCCAGGATGGATTCCTTCATCTAAAAGGATTCCCAGCCCTGGCACAGCTGCCCAGGCAGGGCTGGGTTGGATTCCAGGATGGATTTCCCATCCAAAAGGATTCCCAGCCCTGGCACAGCTGCCCAGGGCAGGCTTGGGTTGGATTCCAGGATGGATTCCTTCATCTAAAAGGATTCCCAGTCCTGGCACAGCTGCCCAGGACAGGCTTGGGTTGGATTCCAGGATGGATTCCTTCATCTAAAAGGATTCCCAGTCCTGGCACAGCTGCCCAGGACAGGCTTGGGTTGGATTTCAGGATCAATTTCTCCATCCAAAAGGCTCTGCAGGGCTGGCATGGCTTTCCAGGGCAGGTTTAGGTTGGATTCCAGGAAGAATTTCTCCATCCAAAAGGATTCCCAGCCCTGGAACAGCTGCCCAGGGCAGGGCTGGGTGGGATTTCAGGATGAATTTCTCCATCCAAAAGGATTCCCAGCCCTGGAACAGCTGCCCAGGGCAGGGCTGGGTGGGATTTCAGGATGAATTTCCCATCCAAAAGGATTCCCAGCCCTGGCACAGCTGCCCAGGCAGGGCTGGGTTGGATTTCAGGATGGATTTCCCATCCAAAAGGATTCCCAGCCCTGGCAGAGCTGCCCAGGCAGGGCTGGGTTGGATTTCAGGATGAATTTTTAATCCAAAAGGTTTCCCAGCCCTGGCAGAGCTGCCCAGGCAGGGTTGGTGGGATTTCAGGATGAATTCCTCCATCCAAAAGGCTCTGCAGGGCTGGCACAGCTGCCCAGGACAGGCTTGGGTTGGATTTCAGGATCAATTTCTCCATCCAAAAGGCTCTGCAGGGCTGGCATGGCTTTCCAGGGCAGGTTTAGGTTGGATTCCAGGAAGAATTTCTCCATCCAAAAGGATTCCCAGCCCTGGCACAGCTGCCTAGGCCAGGTTTGGGTTGGATTTCAGGATCAATTTCTCCATCCAAAAGGATTCCCAGCCCTGGAACAGCTGCCCAGGGCAGGGCTGGGTGGGATTTCAGGATGAATTTCTCATCCAAAAGGATTCCCAGCCCTGGCATAGCTGCCTAGGCCAGGTTTGGGTTGGATTTCAGGATGAATTTCCCATCCAAAAGGATTCCCAGCCCTGGCACAGCTGCCCAGGGCAGAGGTGGAGCCCCCAGCCCTGCAGGGCTCAGAGGAAGGGGAGGTGGCATTTGGGGACACGGGTCAGCTCTGCTGGCTCTGCATTCTGTGCTCTTCAAGGATTTTTCCAACCTGAAGGATTGGAAATGATTGATGGATAATCAGGACTGGATGATTCTGTGGTCCAGGGCATGATCCTAAGGATGACCTTTAAGGTCCCTTCCAAACCATTCCATGATTCTTTGATCCTCTCTAAACCCTCTTCTGTCTGAGGGCAGAAGAAATTCTTTAAAATTCACTCTAAAATTCCTGTTAGTGCTTCTCAAGGACTGCCTGCTCCTCATCCTTGCCTGGGAAGTGAAAACAGGGTGCAGAAACTCTAAAAACCTTCCTACACTGCAAATTACAACATGAGACACCCTCAGAAGGGAATAAAAGGCACTTTCCCTCAAATTCTCCTTATTCCCGGGTGTCAGCACTAACTCCCAGGTTACTCCTCCCTTACTCCAGCCCACAGGGAGGTTGTGCTTGATTTACCTTTAGTTCCTTGCAAAACTGGGACTCCTGGGGCGTTGCCTTGCTTGCTTTGGGTTTGAGGAGCCTCCTGCACTGGACAAGGTTCTCCAATTCTTTTTTTAAAACTAAAAAAAAAAGGAACAGAAAATGAGGAATTTCACCAGCATGAAGAGCTGACCAAAGGGCTGCAATTGCTTCATTTAGGGCACAAGGAAAATAAAAGAGAATGTGGGTCTGCAATACATTTATCTAGGAGTGCTAAGTTCCTGGTGGGAGGTAGAGCTCCTGAAGGAGGCATTTCCTCAGGGAAAAAATGTGATCAGATCCCTGCAGGTGCAGGATAATGCAGAGGTCGAGAGCGTGGGAATGCAGCAGCATAAACCTGACCTTCCCTAGGCTGAGCACTGGGATCAGCCGTGGAAATAACAGCCTGAAAAGCCACATTTTGTGTAGGAAGCTCTGGGTTCCTTTAAAGATAAAAGAATAAAGATCCTCTGTGGAACAGTAAGAAATCAGTAAGAATTCTTGTCAGCTGGGACAGAGGGCACAGCCTGGGCTCTGGCAGCTCCTGCAGCTCCTCCAGGGTGTTCCTGGAGCTGGCAGAAGCTGCTTCCTTGGATTTTGGTGCATCTCCTCCCTCTGTGCCCTGCTGGGACTGCCCTGGAATCCACGGGGACAGCAGGAATCCACGGAGGGAAGAGCCCAGGCAATCCCACCTGGCTGCCCTGGTGATGCCTCAGGTTTGGCTTTTCTATTTTTCAGGTTCTGAGCTGCTTTAGTGTGTGGGTCTGCCTTAATTTATTCTTTAACCCTGTCCAGTCTCTAGCTCAGCCTGCCCAAGGCACCACTGAGGCCCCTCTTGGACATCTCCAACAGTTCTGTTCCCATTTCATAGCTTTGCCCAGCATTTCCCAAAACTGCCTTTAAAATACTCACTGGTTTTGAATTGTTTACTGAAGGTAAATGTTGCATTTAGTGATTTCTGTCTCCTAAAAGGTGGATTGGAATTCTTTGGAGCAGGATAAAGCACACTGCAGGAGCCTCGAGCTGCTCCCAGAGCTGACCCCAGGGCCCAGAAGGGGTGCAAGGGTTTGCCAACCCAAAAGTGAGAGTGAGCATCATTCAGATCTGTTACCAAAGGCTGAAATTGGCAATATTGGTCTGGACTTATGGCCAACACACGTCACACCTTCAAAACACAGATTTTTATAGATTTCAACATAAAAATTTCCACCCACTGACACTCTGCTATCAGCTCTCAAAGGGTTCAGTGTAAAACCCACTGAGCTCACAGGTCATGGGACTGTTCCATGGAGAGCTGGAAATCCATCCTACAAAATCCATCCTACAAAATCCATCCTACAAAATCCACCTTCCATTTCAACAACCTTGTTCTGCCCCTCCTGTTGATTTCACTGGTGCTGGAGTCCTTTTCAGAGAAGAAAACCAGTTTGTTTCCAGAAAGTTCTCGAACTCCAGGAAGTTTCTTCCGCTGCATTCCCACTCCCATCTCCAGAGACCCTCCCAGCCATCACTGTAATGGAGCACTTGTACCACTTAACTTTTGTATTTTATGATAAACTCTATTTACCATAAACTCTATTTACCAGTACATTTTTTTACATTTCTAAACCACCTGGACACACTTCAATATTTCTTTTCTTTTTTTAATTCCTCACAGCAACATGGCAGGTTAAGCATCTCCATGGCAACACTTCACCTCAATGTTCTGAACCTTTAACTCTCTTTACAAACTACAGAGGTGCAGTGAAAACCCGTTCCAAATGACTGCACAGTGCACGAAAATCTGCCTGTGAATGTAGAAACCACATTTACATACCATCAACTTCAGCACTGAGGCCCTTCATGGACGCTGGAAAGGAAGAGGGGAAAATCACGATGATGACATTTATAATGATAATTTCATTTATACAGTGAGAAGCACAGAAGTTGAAGGACTTCATTTTTTATTTGTTGATTATTTCCCCCCCTTCCCTCCTCTCACCATCAGGAACAGCTTCAAACTCTGTCAGCTCCTGAGGAAAGGTGGCCAGCTCGGGCTGGTGCAGGAGGATCTGTTCCACCAGGGCGTGGAGAAGGGTAAACGTCCTGTCCCTGCCCCTCAGCAGAGAGAGCTGCAACAGAGCAGAGCAAAAACACATCCTGAGCTATCAGCCCTCAAAAATAAATAAAACACCAAAAAGGAACAGCAGAGATGCTGACAGAACCCAGGAGTCACTGTCACATTTTCTGGAAAAATCCCTTCACCAGGATTTCTCTCCTGAGAAGCCTCAGAGAAAAAGGAAAACCAAAATTATCTAATTTGCTTCTCCTGTGTTTTGCTGCTTTGGAATGTGGTTTGGAGATTGTTTATCCAACAGGTGAATTGTTTTTACTTATTGACCAATCCAGCTGTGTCGAGGCTCTGGAGCAGAGAGTCATGAGTTTTCATTGTTACCCTTTAGCTTTCTGTCTGTATCTTTTCTCTATTCTTTAGTATAGATATAATATAATATAATATAATATAATATAATATAATATAATATAATATAATATAATATAATATTTGATATGATAATTAATATTATATAAGATTAATATAATAATATAAAATAATAGTTGATATAATTAATATTATATAATACCATTAATATAATATAATATAATGTAATATAATATAATATAATCCTTCCAAGAACATGGAGTCAGATTCCTTCCTTTCCTCACCATCGTGTGGGGACCCCAAAATACCACACCCAGGTGTATTTGGCAAGAATAGAAAACAACAGAATCAAACCTCTGCTTTTCATGTTGCTGCTTCACACACATTCCTGGCTCATACCTGCTGTCTAACCAGGGCCTGCAGCTCACACAATTCCTGATGCCAAGGGATTTTAATATCAGGGCAGGCAGCATTTTGATGTTCTGCCTCATTAGAGGCACATTCAGCAGCACAGAGCCAGAGCTGCTGCCTGAATGGGGAGCACAGCTTGTGATCCCAGGCACGAGAGAACTCAGTGCTCCACAGCAGTTTATTCTCCTCTAACCCAGGGCAGGTGGTAAAATCTGAGCTCCTCTTTAGGAATTATTGCCTCTCTCTGCATGAAAATAATTAAATTTATTGTTTTATAGCATTAGCATGCTAACAAATATTAGCCTACTAAGGCTAGCAAACCTCAGAACAGGATGACTTTAATCACAGGAAGACATTTACTCACTTTGGCCAGAGATGACAGTCGGAATCCTTTGGCCACCTCTTTCCCAGCTTTCTCATTCAGGTGGTTCCCCATGGCCAAAATGTACTCCAAGACAGCAACAAACTTGGGGCTGGACTGCAGCTGCCTGCTTGCCTGGATGTTCTGGATGATCAGCTGGAACACACAGACCTTTGTCACCATGACATTGTCTGAAAAATACCTTTGCCAGGATTTTTCTCCTGAGAAGCTGAGAAAAATTCTCAGAAAAGAAATGTAAACAATGACAATCTGATGGCTTTGGAATGTGGTCTGGAGGTTGTTTACCTACAGGTGCATCTTTGATTGATTCCATGTGAATTGTTTTTGCTTAATGACCAATCCCATTCCAGCTGTGTTGGACTCCCTGAGTCGGTCATGGGTTTTTGTTATTATTTCCTCTCCTCACCTTCTGATGTATTCCTTTCTCTCTATAGTTTAATATAGCAATATAATATAATATAATATAATATAATATAATATAATATAATATAATATAATATAATATAATATAATATAATATAATATAATATATACTAATATAATATAATATAATATAATATAATATAATATAATATAATATAATATAATATAATATAATATAATATAATATAATATATACTATAATATAATATTAGACTAATATAGCATAATATAGCATAACAATATAATATAGCATAATATAATATAATGTAATATAATATAGTATAATATAATATAATATAATATAATTAATATAATATAATATAATCAGCCTTCTAAGGAATATGGAGTCAGATTCATCTCTTCCCTTGTCCTGGGGCCCACAAACACAGATAGACCTTCCTCAGACAGGCTGAAAATGGGGATTAACCCGTGGCATCTGTGCCCCCTGTGCCACCCCTCAGTGTCCCCACCTCCCTGTCCCAGTCCTGTCACGCTGTTCTTTTGAGTTCTTCTAAGCCTTCTGATCTTGACCTTCTTGCAACAAACTTCCTCACAGACTTTATGTAAATAATTGTTTTGCATTCTTTTCTGGAGGGGGAGAAATCTGATGGACTGTTGGTTTGTGCAGATAATATAATATAATATAATATAATATAATATAATATAATTAATATAATATAATCAGCCTTCTAAGGAATATGGAGTCAGATTCATCTCTTCCCTTGTCCTGGGGCCCACAAACACAGACAGACCTTCCTCAGACAGGCTGAAAATGGGGATTAACCCGTGGCATCTGTGCCCCCTGTGCCACCCCTCAGTGTCCCCACCTCCCTGTCCCAGTCCTGTCACGCTGTTCTTTTGAGTTCTTCTAAGCCTTCTGATCTTGACCTTCTTGCAACAAACTTCCTCACAGACTTTATGTAAATAATTGTTTTGCATTCTTTTCTGGAGGGGGAGAAATCTGATGGACTGTTGGTTTGTGCAGTGCCATTGGAGAGGTGGCACTGTCACCCTCCAACCCACTGTCACTTTTGGAAGTCTGTAAATGTTAGAGTCAGAGCTAAACTTCCCTCTTTTTCACCTTAGAAAACCCATTGTCCTCGTCTTTCTGTTTTGTGTCCTAGAGTGCCAAAATCCCTCAGGGATTTTCAGCAAGGCCAAACTCCCCCAGACAAAACTGTGCTGGCACAGCCACCCCAAAAAGGAGTCACATCCTTTGTGGCTGCCAAAACAACTGCAGCTCCTGTGCACAAAAAGGCTTTTGCTGTTTGGGTGCCCAAATTTCAGGGATCAGGGGAAGCAGAGTCTGGAGCTCCATCCTTCACCTCCCTCCCTTCCATTTACACCAGCTCAATGCTCTTATCAAAATTCTTAGCACAGTTTCCCCACAAGGAAGAATAATAAATTCCTGTACTCAAACTCAGTATAATTCAGTTTTCCCAGGGAAGCCACCTCCCTTCTAGGCCTACAGGCACAGGAGGGGATTTTGTTTTCCGTTAAAAAATCTGTATTTTTTTAGTACCACACCTCTTTTCATCAGTCACCAACACAGAAATTTAAAAACAGGGAGAGGATGAAGCACATGGGTGCACTGAAAGCTGTTGTTAAAGAATTTATAGCCCAGCTCAGGGCCAGAGGTTGCTGAAAGCCAAAATTGACATTGCCCCTCAGGATTTTAGGTGTATATTTTGTGGTTTAAAATACGTGCTAGCATGTATAAGAACACACTTAGACACTAATTAGCTCTTCAGTGAACATTAAATATCCATCAAAGCAAACAGTGCGTGGAATTACTTCCAAATATTCAATATTTGGCTTTAGTGGAGGACAGCAGAGGTGCAGCTGCTCCAGGCAGGGTCAGGAATGTCTGCATCTCCCCTGTGCTTTCCATCTGCTCCTCTTCTGAGCTTCCCTCACTGCTACTGTGCTTTGAATCACAGCCAGGCAAAGGATAACTCACAGAACTTCCACATTTTATTTTCATTCCCGTGCAGAACGAGGGCAAAACCTCTGAAGCATTTTTGTGGTGTGGAAATGCTTGTTTTGAATCAAAGCATGGACAAAAGCTGGCAGGTAAGGCAGGGCTTGGAACAGCAGGATCCAGGCACCAGAGTGGCACTTGTTTGTTTGCATCCCCCCACCCTTAGGTCATCCTGGGAAAAGGCAGAGAGGGACTTGGGCTCTGGCTCCCAAAAATTGCAGTCCAGAGGTGTAATCCTTAGGGGGAACAGCTCCTTCAGTCTTCAGGAAATAATAAATCTCCTGGAGATTTGCCAAATGAACTTCCTCTTTGCCTTAGACTGATTCTTTCAGCTCATGGGGCCAGAACCTCCCCACAAAGGGAATTGAATTTTAAAGGTGAAATTCACTTCTGTCTCATCCAAAGGAGGAAAGTTTAATATCTCCAGTAAAATGTTGAAGATCTCTTCCTGTTCTTTTCTCTCTCTTTTGTGGAAGTCTCTCCTACTGCCACGCCCAGTACCCTGAACCTTGGTGGAATAAGGACGATATCAAACACACAAGTGGAAAAAAAAAACCCAAAATAATCCTCCCAAACTACACAGCCTTGAAATGTGTGATTTGGGCCTCTCTTATCAAAGTGCCAGGATGACAGACACACCAGGAGGGCTCCAGTACTCACAGGCTCCAGGTCTCTGATGCTCTCGGGGAGCTCACGGACGCTGAGCAGCAGATCCAGCCTCTGGCCCAGCTGGGGGATTTTACACATCTGCACAGAATGGAGCAGAACAGGAATAAAAAACTCACATTTATACCAAAACATGCATATTCCTTTCATTATTTACTGAGCAATTCAGCTGGGCCATTGCTTGCCTAATTTCTGTGTTCATTTATTCATTTTATTCTGGGCCTTGACCCTGTGGATACACTCTGGCACAGGCCTGCAAATTCACTGTATGCTCCTGGGCAGACATGATTAAAATCAAGTGCAGTCCTTTCTTGTGAGCAAAAATGGCTAAATACCTATAGTTTTATAGATTATGGCTTCTAGATTTTGGGAATCTAGATTTAGATCAGGATAAATGACCTGTAGGAAGAGGAGGGAGTGTGACTTGGAGACACAAAGGGATCCATTATTCTCTTTTTGTTATCTATCTGTCCCAAGTCTTCATCAGAATAATCCTTTCATACTGATTCTGGGTGAGACTGTAAATTTGAGTTCTAAACAACAGCTTCTTGCAGTGGTTTTAGCTTGGAGAATGTCCTAAAACTAGGATGTGGTGTCTTTTAACATTGAAACTCCTCACCTCTAACATAAACTGGTCAACCACGTGCAGCTCTGAGCAAGGACCCTTGAAGGACAGGTACCTTTCTGCATCTTTGGGTGTGGGCAAATATCTGTGAAGGGAAAATTAAAATTAGGGGTCCTCTTCATTCTGTATTCTGATAAAATAATTCTGCCATTCCTTGCCCTGGAGTTTCCTACATTTTGTGTGGTTTGTGTGGTTCATATTTACTGCTTATCCTTTGGAGGCATTTGAACCAACTGGGAGATGGGAAGCAAGAGTGATCTGCAGACACCTCTGGATATCTGGAGATGATTCCATGTAGATAAGGCTTGAAAACAGCCAGGATGTCCAGCTGCAGACATTCAGAGAATTTAGAATGACAGAATATTTTTAAAAAGGTGAAACCATGAGATAGAGGAGTTCAGGCCCTGATTCCCAAAGAGGTTGGATCCTTTCTTATCTCTGTTATGTTATAATCACAGAATATCCTGTTATCACAGAATCACAGAATATTCTGGGCTGGAAGGGACCCACAAGGATCATTTCTGTTATCACAGAATATCCTGGGCTGGAAGGGACCCACAAGGATCATTTCTGTTATCTCATAATCACAAAATATTCTGGGTTGGAAGGGACAAGGATCATCCTGTCCCTCCTGGCTCAGACACCCCAACAACCCCAGCCTGGGAGGGTTTCTCTTCTTTATGTTGATTTTTACAGGGTTTTTTTATTTGCTGAAACAGTGGCAGCACAAAACACAGCCCCACAGCTTCCTCCCAAGGTCACAGAATATCCTCCAGGGCCACAGATTTTCACAAGATTGATGTCTTCAAATATGCCTCCACTTGGAAAAACAAACACAGCAGCACAGCTGCCTTCCTTTGGAGATCTTCCTGCCTGTCTGAGCCACCACGGGGGGAATTCACAGCATTTCTTCAGAAAAACTGAATCCATGTCACAGCTCACATGTGAGCAGAGTAAAGAAGCTGAAATAAGTATTCAGGTCTGCTCTCTTTACTTTCTCTTAAAACAAACTTCTAAATTTGCAGCAAGAGTGATTAAACATTCATGGGCAGAGCTATACATCTCCAGTAAAAGTCAGGGAATTGACTCAAAGATGGAAAAAAGCAAATATTTTAGCACGTTAAACACAGAACAAACACTAAGATTTATTTTGCTGCTGTCAATAATTAATATGACATTTCAATTGCAAAGTTGCTGGGGTTTGAATTAACTCTAGGTTGTAGCAGAGGAAAATGTAATCCTTTCAGCCCACTTTACCATTAAGAAAAAAAATGAATTTTCATTTAAAAATAAGTTAGCTGTAGGCAAATGAAAGGGTGTTTACTCATCATTAAAAATAGTTTGAGCTTTTAAGCAAATTCATAGAACGTATTTCAAAAGGTGACAGCAAACATCTTCATTTAATCAGCAGTCTGATACCCCATAAAATTCTTTAGCTGCATTATGCATAGAAAATGGAAATAACAGATTATCTGGAAGGTTTAAAGCTTAAAGCATTAAACAATGGGAGCCATGAGAAAGGAGGCACAAAACCACGTCAACGCATTCCATAAATATCTTTGTACATGAATGCAGCTCTAATGGAATTTGCGCAATGAAAAAGATTCTTATTTCTCTGAAAAAAAAGTTAAGAGAGGCACGGAGTGCTTTGCTGGGAAGACATGAGGATAAAGAATCATCCAGAGATGGAGAGGTTTCTGTATCAAATTCATTCTTGAAGTTGCCAGTGATATCCCACCACTTCCACTGGATGCATGAGCAGGACACTTTGACTTTAAATATTTTTCACTCTCCAATAGCAGGATTTTGACATCTTTAAGTAATTTTCTCTCTCCTGATGCCTTGGGTATTAGCTTTTCTATTTTTCAGGTTCTGTGCTGCTTTAGTGTGTGGGTCTGGATTCATATTATGGGATGGTGAGCTCTGTGCACAGAGCAGGGAGACAAAACAATTCCTGCTCCAGCTGGGCACCAAGGACAAATGATCCAAATCTCAGCCCAAGAGCACAAACCCCGTGGGCTGCAGAGAGAAAAACAAGCAGGATGGGAGTGCAGGGGCTGAGCTGGAATTGGACACTGAACTGCAATGTGCACATGGAGCAGAGCTGATCCCAGGGAGAGACCCCGGGAGCGCTCGTGCATTTTGGGACCATTTGGGTTCATCCTGGGTGCAGCCCTGGCTGGGCTCTTGTGCTGCCCAAGGTGGATCCATGGAGGAGATCCTTTGAATCAATCCCTGCTTTATTCTTTAGCTCTGTCCACCCTCTGTTCCAGCTCAGCCTGCCCAAGGCATCACTCCAATAGAAGGATTTTTGACATCTTTAAATATTTTTCACTCTCCAATAGTAGGATTTTGACACTATGCCCTGGCTTAGCCACCCTGACAGGTACAATTTGCACTGAGAGGAATTTTCCAGCCCTGGACTGTAATGAGTTTTTATTATTCATTCTTGTTAAGCCTTCTGATGTATTCTTTCTCTGTAGTTTAGTACAGTTTTAGTATAGCATTAATATGATATGATATTATATGATATGATATGATATAATATAATATAATATAATATAATATAATATAATATAATACCAAGCCTTCATTTTGAGATGAATCTCAACTGTTTCAGTTACACTCAAAACTCTCAGGATGGAAAAAAAAAATTCAGTTTCCTCTCAGTGCAAGATTTGCACATGGATTCATCGATTTTGGCAGTAAATAACAATTCCAGGGACAGAATCCTTGAAGCCAGATAACATGGCTTGAATCCTTGAAATTATACAGCACAGAGCAATACAACAATCAATACCCCTTACACATTCCACTGCTGGGAATATTCCCTCAGCATTATTGCCATCAAAGAAAGACTTCAAGGAAAAAAAAATATGATATTTCAAGCTTCATTGCCATCATTATTATTATTATTGTCTGATGGCAAAGAGCCCAGAGGCCACAAATCAGTGATGCCACAGCAATTTCAGCAGCCTGGAGATCCTGGACTGAGGCTGCAGTGCCAGGACTGAATCCTGTGTGACAATTCACTTGTGGGGAATTTTGGAAGGAATTTGAGATGGGACTTTTGAGTTGATTTTTGATAATGCTGTTTATTTTTCTTATTTTCTACACAGGTAGGAAGGGTGAGTTCAGCTCACATCATTACAGCATGGTTCAGAAGTTCACAATATCCTTTTAACTTTTAAGGAGTTATTAACTAATAAAACACTGCTAACAAGGATATTTTTGATTTTGACTCAATCAACACCATTTAAATAGCCAGTGTCCCACCCATGTCCCTTCATACCTCAAAAAGCATGACACAGAATGGCATTAATTCCATGTTTCATGTCCCTGACATCACTTCCCAAGCACAGATCTGATTCTGCAGACTTCAAAATTACTGTCTCAGATCAGGATTTTAAGGCCAAAATTAAACTGATTCCACAAGCAACAGAAACATCAATTATTTACTTCCTCACTTTCTCTGTCAGTGTCCTCTTTTCCCCAGATTTCTTTAGCAAACATTCATTTTTTGTCTCATTTTGAAGCAAGAATCAGTTGTGGTTCAGAAGTTCACAATACCCTTTTAACTTTTAAGGAGTCATTAACTAATAAAACACTGCTAACAAGGATATTTTTGGTTTTGACTCCATCAAAACCATTTAAATAGCCAGTGTCCCACCCATGTCCCTTCATACCTCAAAAAGCATCACACAGAATTACATTAATTCCATGTTTCATGTCCCTGACATCACTTCCCAAGCACAGATCTGATTCTGCAGACTTCAAAATTACTGTCTCAGATCAGGATTTTAAGGCCAAAATTAAACTGATTCCACAAGCAACAGAAACATCAATTATTTACTTCCTCACTTTCTCTGTCAGTGTCCTCTTTTCCCCAGATTTCTTTAGCAAACATTCATTTTTTGTCTCATTTTGAAGCAAGAATCAGTTTCACACCAAGCTTCTGCATGTAAAAATGTTTATTAAAATGCCCCAAATATCACAGGGGGACTGAGATGGAACAGATCCCACTCCAGGATCCCACTTCTTTCCTTTCCTTCTACAAGGAAGGAAACTATTCAAAATTATTCAAAAAGATAAAATCCAGTTCCTGTGGATTTCACAGCCCAATAGTTTGCTCACACTGAAATCTGTCCAGCTGCAGAAATGTCCACCCTGCTCTAAAGCCCCAATCCCTGCCACTCACACAAATATTCCCAATTCCCACCATCCCACAAAGCTCCTTTAACTCTTCTCTGCCTTCCTCCTCTCCCAACCAACTTTCCAAACTTCACATCACTTGCAGAAGATTCTGCCTTCTCCAAAAGGTCCCAAACCCAAACAATTCCCCCCAAAATTACCTTCTCAGTGCTGTAATCTGCTCATCTGTGAGCCCACCACTCTCCTCGTGGATGATGAAGAGTTTGTCCTTCAGCTCACTTGGTTTTATACGGAAACTCTTAAGAAAAATGTCTGGAGAAAAAGGATTCTGGGGTTACTTGGAAGGAAATGCTCAAGGGAAGGGAAATCACCCAAGTAGCTCATCAATGCTTAGCAGAATTTAAAAAAAAATTTAAAAAACCAAAAAAAACCCCAAACAACCAGAATATAAAATATTTAGCAGCTGCTACCATAAGGCAAAATCTCAGTCTTCATATTTGCTTTAAATTTACATAGCAGTCATCAAGGAAAAACAAATCTGAGGATGATTTTCTTGTCTCTTACTGATACCTGCTCCCTGTGTGGCAGGAATTTCTTTTTTCAACAAGAATCCATTAGAGAACTTTGCTTTTATTTGTATTTTCTCCTACACTGGCCTTGAATTTAGCATGGAAATCTCTCAGAACTCTCTTTTTCCTCTAGTGTTCCACTCAAAATCTCCAGAATTTGGAACCTACTGGCATTTTGGAGCTTCATCTTTTTATTCATTAATTTAAGGACTGTGGTTTGCAGCACTTGCAGGAAGATTAATCAGAATTCTCAGGAACAAATTAACTTTTGATCTGAGTAATGTCCATTATAACAAGGATATGCCAAAACCCTCACTGCTGAGAATAAGACACCTCTGTACAGGATTCAAGGCAATCCCATGGCAGGAAGAAATGACAAGCAGGACTCCATCGATATCAGAGGGCTAATTAATTACTTTATTATACTATATTATTCTATATTATATTACACGGCATCTAAACTGAATCTACACAAGAACTCAACCAGATCTTGTGGCTGTCTCCTGACTGACAGGACACAGCTTGCAGAGATGGGTCAAAGAAAGAAAACCCCATCACTCTGGGTAAACAATCTCCATATTCCCTTCTATTTCTGCACAAACACAGGCGCAGCAAATGAAATAAAAATTGTCTTTTATTTCTCTGAAGCTCCTCACTGCAATTCCCAGAAAATATCCTTGAGAAGCTGCCCCTTGCTTTTCTCTGTGGAGAGAAATGTGGCCACAGCTCTGCTGTACCAGATCATTAATCATGTACTCACAGGTAGTGGTGGTCTCTGGTGTGCAGGGAGAAGGTGCTGCAGCCACTGTCCCTGCTCTCCCCCACGCTCACAGCTGCCAGGGGAATTGTGGCTGCAGGGCTCCTGCCCCCCAGCCCCAGGCAGTACAAGGCCAATTCTCCTTCCCGCAGCTCTGCCAGGCACCTGGGGGACAAGGGATGGAGACACAGCTCATTCCTCACTGCTGTCTTCTTTACACAGCCTGGCCCTTTTAAAGCACTTTCCAATGTCAATAAATCTCCACATTTTTACAGCATCCTCCATGGAACAGTCAAAAATATCAATAGCAGAGAATAAAATCTTTGAGATGTTATTTGAGAGTTTCTTGTTTTCATCTGACACCTAAAGAAAGTGTGACATAAAATCTGAGCAGCCTGCCATGCCCAGTGAGAGCTAAAATTAAATCTGATCATCAATTCAAAATCACTCAAGTCCTGTTGATTTTTCAGCCATGCTCTGTCCCTCCCTCTCCATTTGCTTCTCTTGTTTATTTGGGGTAGTGGATCTTTGGGACTCTGAGCTTTTAAAGGAATCCACCTGTGGATTCCAGCAGTGCATAAGTCTCCAGAGTTTCTGTGCCTTCCAGGTTTCACTCCACCAAGCTATAAACAAATCCCCAAATTTAGTTCCCCATCATCCAGCCCAATATCCCTCTCCTGGAACTCCTGTTACTCCATGGCAACTCATCCTGGACCCATCATTCCCAGGAGTCACTAGGCAGGAAAGGCTTAAAGTATTCTGCTCTTGAGGGCTTCCAGCAGAGGTGACTGTGCCAAAATTTAGAGAAAAGCTCTTTAAATTAGAATTAATCCTGGAAGAAATAGCCTGAGCATGCAGAGCTTCCATTGCAGCAGAGTCCTGTGCTTTGGCCTCTCCTCTGGAATTCTGCCCTGCTCTTTTAACTAAGGTCCCAACAAGAGGCTGGGCTTTGCTGTGGGTTTATTCTTATTTAACATTTTGCCTCCTCCTTTTTCTGGAGGGTTTCTGCCTTTCTTTTTCATTCTGGCAGTTCTACAAAACTCTCCCTCCACTCTCTCTTCAAGGTGTGGATGGTTGATTAAGGTGTTCTGTGAAGAATTTAAGTAAGTTTAGCTGCTCCAGAACAAATTAAACATAAAATAAAAATTGCATGAATTCCCATATAAGCAGTCAAAGTGATAAGAATTGTTTAATGGGGCTGGCAGTGCTATTGATCTCTCCTTTCTTCCAGCATGGACTTATGGTTTAATCGGATCTCCAGATGCTCCCACCATCACTTACTTTGCCAGAAAAAAAAAAAGAAAAAAAAAAGGAGGAAGAGAGAGGATTAATATTGAGAAGCACACAACAAGGGCTTTGCTTCACAAGATAAATAGAAATCAATTTTTGTTTGTTAACAAACCTGTTCAGTGTTGCAAGGTAACAAATCCTGGACACACTCGAGGATGGTGTGTTTACAGCACATACAGTGGCAGCCTTTTAAAACCAATTAAAATCATTTTCTGTGAAGTGTGAAGTCTTTTGAGATAATTACTCTGTGCAGATAATTACAATGTAAATTTTTTTTCATTAGCTAGACAGAATTTCTTTCCTCTCTCTTCCTCTCCTTTGATGGTTTAAGAAATTTCCAGGTGTTTTAGGAGCTGTCTCAGAATGGGGAGCAAACCATGGAAAACCACTGGATTACTGAGAATGGAGGGAAAAAGTCATGAGAGAAACAAAGTCCCAGCATCAAATTGGTTCTGAGCACCATCACCATTAGAGGTTTGTGCTGCCAATGCTCCCAGCAGGCTCCAGATCACAACTTTGGTTTTCTGGGTGCCCTGGCAGCTCATTGTAGCGCTTCCTTCTCATGCAGACTGGGCATCTACCTTTACACTTTAAAAAAAAAACTAAATAATAAAATTACTATCAGCACATTCAAATCGAAATGCATCTATCAGAAGTTTGAACAAAATCCAGAGCTCATACTTCACCCATTCAGTGGAGGTCAAGGTGTTCTGCTGCAGATCCAGCAGCCCTTCGTGGATCACATCACATTCTGCAGCTCTCCCAGGGCAGGACTCTGCTGCTCTCTTGTAAGAATTGCTCTGAATAACTCTGCTCAGCAGGTAGATTATCTAGATAATAAGTGGCAGCAGAGAGAAAACTATTTTTCACATACATTCCCTTGAATAAGACATCAATAGTTGGATTTTACAAGTACAGGGCCACAGTCAAATGGGCAAAATAAATCAGCATAAAATAACTCAGGTCTTTCTATGATGCAAAACTCCTTAACTGCAATTTGGTTTTGTCCACACAATCCTAAACCTGTCAGTCTAAGCAGAATATAATTTTACTCTGAAGGGGTTACTGTAAACCAGAACTTTTTAATTCATGTACAAAGCAGTCCAGGACAAAGTTTCTGCTCAGCTCAGTTCAAGCCCACACAACACTCGATTGATTCAGCTGAAATTCTCAGACAATGCTCAAAGATGAACCACTGGCTCTTTTCTCAGCATGAGGACAATCCTAATTCATCCTTAATATGGGGCACGTTATGAAATATCTTATACAGAGAACAAAAAGTGCTTGCAAAGCTCCATTAGGATTCAGCTGTGCACATCACCAGCTTTGTTTGCTTGTTTTAACACTCCAGAGCAGTTCCAGCCATGCTGTGGCTGCAGAGCTGCCCCCACTCTCCCATCTCATCTCGAGCTGCCTTTACATCTCCTCTGAACTGTGCCAAAATCTGAGGCCAGGCTCCACCTCGAGCTCACACTGCCTTGGTTCCATGTCCCAGCAGAACAAATCCATCCCTCCTGCCCTGCCTATAGGATTCAAAGCGACCCCCATGGCAGGGAGAAATGATGAGGAGGACTCCATTGATATCAGAAGGCTAATTAATTACTTTATTGTATTATAACAAAGTATTAATATAGAATTATATTATAGTATTATAGCATTATAATAGTAGCATATTATATGTAATGTAATATAATATAATATAATGTAATATAATATAATGTAATATAATGTAATATTATGTTATGTTATGTCATGTTATGTTATATTATTCTATATTATATTATATTGTATTATATTATATTATATTATTCTATGTTATTCTATGTTACTCTATATTATATTATTATTTATTATATTACACTACATCTAAACTGAATCTGCACAAGCACTCAACTCCCCTGCTCAGAATCTCTTTCCTTTCTCCTAACCAACCAGACACAGCTTGCAGAGATGGTTCAAAGAAACAAAGCCCCATCACTCTGGGTAAACAATCTCCATATTCCATTCTACTTTGGCACAAACACAGGCACAGAAAATGAAATAAAAATTGTTTTTTCTTTCTCTGAGGATCCTCGCTGCGATTCCCAGAAAATATCCCTGGGAAGCTGTGCCTTGCTGTTCTCTGGGGAGGGAAATGCAGCCACAGCTGGCTGCACACTGCCCAGCAGTGCTGGAGCCTCCACCCAGCTGGGATTCACTGCAGCGCTTTCCCCAGCTCACCTTCCTTTTGTCATCCAGGGACACAGCCTCCAGCTCGTAGTGCTGCCTGCCGTGGAAGAGGATGCTGAAACGCCTCCTCTCCGAGTCCTCGCAGCCTCTGACTTGTGAGAAAGGGAACTGCTTCCTGATAGTGCCCTTCTCGATGTTAAAAATGGTCCTGCTGCTGAAATCAAGCTGCGAGAGAAAGTTCTGCATCACTCCAGGCAAGTGATGGTAAAAAAACTACTAAATCTTTGTTGGAAGGCAAAGGCAGAATCCCAGTTTTGCCAGGTGAAGGTGTTTAGATAAAAGGGCAGAATAAATATAATTTTAAAATTACATTCCACCATCAAGAATATAGTGTTTGTTTTAGTGACAAAATGCTCAATGTTTTTTTTAGTGACAAACCCCCCCCCATATATTCCTTGTAAGCTGTGTTTCCACACGTCTCTTTTGATGAATATGCATCAATTTATCACTCTGGGATATTATTTCTTTTTAAATTCTCCTTGTCTCACAAAACCCAGAGCAGAAACTTCCCCTTCAGCACAAACTAACAGCAGAACCACTCGTCCAGTTCCTCACTCCTTCGGTCTCTGAAATGCAGGGGGCTAGAAAAGCAGTTCTAAGTTAGAAGTTAAAACTTGTACACACCACACCACCAAATTCCCACACTGTGCCCTTTCCCTCGGTCCTGTTTATAGCAGGAAACCTCCAAAGCAGAACCTTTCTCAAGATTATCTCTGACTTTTGAAGGCTGCTGGTAATTAGAGAACTGAAATTAAGATAATCCAGGTTCCCAGACTGATAACTTCCACATCTACTACACATCTCTCCATTTTTCCACTTTATGTCTAAAGAAATAATCTTTTCATTCCAAGAAATGGTGGATAATGCTGGAAAAATTATATTTTGTACAGTTAAGATGTAGTAAATAAAAACCACCCTGTAGCATGCATGATTTGGATTGTTCACTATCAAATGTTGTCCAAACTGAAAGAAGTTTTAGTGAAATCCAGGAAAAAACATGAAACCTCTGTTCCTGACTTCATGAAACAGGGAATCACCATCAGGTGTTGTTGACAGAAGCTGGCTTTATTATATTTTATACACTGCACCAAAAGTGAGAATTGTCAAGGTTACCTGCAGGATCCGTTTCTGCCACCGGTAGTGTTTGTATTTGTAGATAATGAAGTTAAATTGGGAGCCAGTTAACAAATCCTGGGGATCCTGGAAAGCAGAACAGAAATCAGGAACACATCCCTGATAATGTGTTCCTGATTTGTTTGGCCACCCAGATCCTGCTGTGCTCAGGTGAGATCTCTCTGTGAGCAGAAACAACACTGGAGCCCTGCAGGAGAATTCCACGTGGAGACAGATGGAAAAATCCTCCTGATTTTTGCTAATCACCTTAATGAAGGTGGAGAGAGAGAGAGAGTATTTCCAAGGGCAGGGACAGGACACAGGGAATGGCTTCACACTGACAGAGAGTGAGTTTGGATTGAATATGAAGAAGAAATTCTTTACTCTGAGCCCTGGAGAAGAGAAGCCTTGCAGGGCCTGAAGGAGCTGCAGGAAAAGATGGAGAGAGAGGATTTACAGGGGATGGAGGGACAGCACACAGGGAATGGCTTCACACTGAAATTGAGGAGGTTTAATGGGATATTGGGAGGAAATCCCTCCCTGTGAGGGTGGGCAGGCCCTGGATCCCTGGCAGTGCCCAAGGCCAGGCTGGACAGGGCTTGGGACAGTGGGAGGTGCAGGGATGTGGTACAGGATGAATTTAAGGTCCCTTCCAACCCAAACCAGTCTGTGATTCTGCAGTTCTGGGATTCTGCCCCACATTTATTAATGCAGGACTCGTTGTTACAGAGAAGTGGCACAGGATGAGCTTCAAGGTCCCTTCCAACCCAAACCAGTCTGTGATTCTGCAGTTCTGGGATTCTGCCCCACATTTATTAATGCAGGACTCGTTGTTACCCTTGGAATAACAACCCTTGTGTGGGTTTGAGCTCCTCAACCCAGGCAATGCCAGCATTTCCAAGGAGCAGCATCACACAGGGCACAGGCAGCACCAGCCAGCTGCTCCTGCCCTGTCGGGTTGGGAATTGGGCTCTTTGTGATTCCCAAACCAGGATTGTATCCTGGAGAGCAACCCAGACACCCTCTCAGCTCAGCAGGGCTCTCCAGAACATCTGAACGTGTTACCAAACTCATCAAAGGAGCAGCCTCACCTTTCCAGCATACACTTCCTTCTGTGCCAAATGCAGAGCTCCTTCAATGCTCACTTCTTTATTTTTCACCATGTTCATGATTTTGAGGATTTTTTCCTGGCTTAACTAGGAGGAAGAAAAAAAAAGAAAAAGATCAATCAAATGTTTTTAGAGACTGGTTTTTCATCTGGCTGTGGAGGATACAGAGTGCTTGTGACACAACCACGGTAGCTGCCATAAAATTACAATTTCACTCATATTTTATGTTCTACTGACAACCTGCCCAGCAAATACAATCTCTCTTTGAAACCTGGTCAAAGTCCACGAGACATCAAATATACAGGGGCCTTTACAACTTCAGAAGATGTGTTGGTAATATCTGGAGATAGAACTGCCAGGGGGAAACCCTCTTGAGTTAGAAACCCTGGCAAGAAGTGAAAACATCAATTTTGCATGGCAGTCTGTCTCATCCTGAGTGCAAAGCCCTGCACACAGGACAACATGAAAGAAAAATCAGGAATATTTGAAATATTCAGGATGAAGAGGGGGCAAACTGCTGTTGGTACGGGGAGGTGCAGCTGCCACGGGGACTCAGTGAAGCGCAGGAAAAGCCAGAGTTCCACTTCCCCTTTTTCTCTGCCCAAAACAGGAGCTTGAGCTGCCAGTGAACTCCCAGAGGAATTTCTGTCACTCCTGAGTGCAGCAGGTGTGGCTGTGATGGCAAACAGGAGCCAAGCCAAGAATAAAGGAGAGGGGAGGCTCGGGGGGCACAGGAGTGCAGCTGTGACACAGCTGGCAAGGCAGAGCTGGGGTTTTGGGGGGAAAAACAACCTTTGAGACAGACCCTGCGTGACAGCCACTCCCCACAGTGACCTCCCTGCTTGCTGCTGGGATTTGAAATGGCCACATTTTCACACCTCCCATGCACTGGGTGGGATGAGATCGGGATGAGTGTCGTATTTGTGGGGTTCCCAGAGGAAGGGAGGAATGATGAACCTGGCTCCTCGTTCTCAGAAGGCTAATTGATTATTTTATTATCTATAAAGGAGGAATGACGAACCTGGCTCTTCATTCTCAGAAGGCTAATTGATTATTTTATTATCTATATTATATTAAAGAATACTAAACTATACTATGCTAAAGAATACAGAAAGGATACAGACAGAAGGCTAAAAATATAATAATGAAAACTCGTGACTCTCTCCAGAGTCCTGACACAGCTTGGCCCTGATTGGCCAATAAATCAAAATAATTCACATGAAACCAATGAAACAACCACCTGTGGGTAAACAGTCTCCAAACATGAGTCTCTCTCACATTCCACATGAGCACAACACAGAATGAAAATGAAATAAGAATTGTTTTCCTTTTTCTCTGAAGCTTCTCAGCTTCCCAGGAGAAAATCCTGGGCAAAGAGATTTTCCCAGAAAATATGAATGTGACAGACAAGACAATTCCCCACTGGACAGGCTCTATGTGAGCAAACAGGAATGTGGATCTATCGGAACTGGAAAACAGAGTTACCTCCAGGCAAAGCTGTGCCAGCCCCAAAGTGCAGGAGCCTGTTGAACTCAGGAAGTGTTTTTGCCTCTTTGGCCTTTTGGAGAAAGAGTCAAAGAATTTTTGCAGCACAATGACAATTCTAATTTCATTTTTTTTCAAATTTAATGTTTTAAGATATTTTCTTTTTTTAAAAAATTGCAGAAAGTAAGAGATTCAACTCAGCACTCAACTCTTCTTTCTCCTTACCTTCACCAAAATCTCTTCTACACTCAAATTCATTTCTGCCCAAGACATGAGAGCAAGAAGAAACATTTCTTAATTTGCTTAGTAATGGACAAGGGAAAAAAATGTTTACAAAAGAGAAACAAATCATTCTGTGTATTGAAATCCAGGGAGGTTTGTTAGGGAGTCAGACTCCTGACAGAGAATCCATCCCCAAGGAGCACAAAAGAAACTCTGCTTGGAGCAGGTTATTTTTAACAGCACCTCGTTATTTTACACCTCTCTTAACTCTCTGCACATCTGGAAGCAGGAGGGAAACATTTCCAAAGCCAAGAGAGGTAAAAAAGGCATTTTTCAGTTCATGAGAACTGTCAGAATTATTTGTCACAAGTCTGCCTGGCTCACTTAGGTTGTTGACAATCACATTTCACGGTATTTTTACTTGCAAATAAGACTTCTGTACCAGACCCTGACCTTTATCATTTTGTGTCTCTGGGGCTTTTCTCTCAGCATGACACAATTTTTGTCATGTGTTTGTTTTGGTTACATTTTTCTTAAAAAGAAAATAAATTTGTCATGTTATCCACCAAAATGCCACTAAGCCAGTCTGTGCTATGTTGCCTAATAAAATGTGACTGGAGCAACCAAACTGAATGTTTCATACAAGACTGAATACCAAAACTTAGAAACAAAAATAAATTCTTCTATTACAAAGCAGGCACATTAAGGAAATACACGAGATTGTGTTAATAATGCACTCACTCACCTGCCAGGTTACAGCAGCTTGTTTAAAACAGATTAAATTGTCATCACCCTCCCCAAATTCAGCAGAGCCACACAAGTGCTTTGAAAGAACTCACAATTGAAGGAAGAGCCTGGGACTCCAGACTTTCTCTGGAAGGAGAGCTGAGGTTTTTCTCTTTTTGGCCTGGTATAAAATATGTGTTTAGTGGGGAGAGAGGAGATTTCCGCCCTGCTCTGGGGCAGCTGCCAGCAGTGCCCTGCACATGGCCCCTCCCAGGCTTTCCTGCCTCTCCCACTGACCTAAAAGGACCCACTAGAGTGTTTGCAGGGAGTCTGGATGCTGTAGAACACCACTGGGAAAATCCCAGATCTGCCAGGAGCCCGTGAAGGAAAAGGGTTAAAGCCACATCATCCAGGAGGGTCTGAGCAGGGCAGATGTCAGAGCCCAGGACACCCTCTGGTGCCCCTGGCAGGGGGCCAAAGACACTTGGGATTTCAATCCTAACCCGTGGAGCAAATGACCAACCTTGTGTGAAGAATCACAAGTCACAGAAGTTTATGTAGAGTGATAATGAATGAATCACAGGGTGAAAAATGGAGTTTTGGGGATTTTACTATGGGAGTCTAGGAGGTAAGATGGAAGGATGTGGGTGTTGTCCTGTCCTTCTTCCTTCTTCTTCCTAGCCTCCATCTTGTGGGAGATGTTGGCACATTTGGACTGGTTTAGAATAGAAGCTGACAGTCTAACACAGGTGATAGGTATTGGAAAATAATGATAAATAAAGTACGCATAATTCATAGTATAAAATGTGGACACCAGCCCGGGGGTGGGCAGTGTGCCCTTGACAGACCTGCTGAGCAGAGCTCTTTGGGTCAGAAAAGGAATGTTTTAGATAAGAGACAATAAACAACCTTGTGAACCAGAGCTGAAGAATTCTGACTCTTTCTTTGACCCATTGGGCTGGGAAAAGAGACTCTCGGGGTCATGCTGACAGCAGGATGAGAGGCAGAGGGAACACCCAGCACCCGGGGCACTGCCCAGGGGTAAAACACCAAAAGTGCTCCTCTGGCTGCTCTCTCTGACCCTCACCCTGCAGTTCACTGCCCCAGAGGGTCACAGGATGGCTCTGGCTCCTGGGCACCCCCTGAGCTCTCTGGGCTTCCCCAGGGGACAATCCCCCCTGCCAGCCGAGAGCCCTTCCCTGCGCTGCCTGCAGAGGAATTGGAGCCAGTGGTGGCTTTGGCTCAGCTTGTTCTTATTCCTCTTATCCCACAGCATGAGGCAATCCCATGCAGAAATGCTCCTGGGATGCGTGCATGTGCACCCACGGGGGCACAGAGCAGGAAATGTGGCTCCCCATCCCCCAGAGGTGTCACCCACACTGGTGTGACAGGGTCAGACATCATCCCAGGCACACCTGGGGGCGATCACAGCTCACCCAGCCCCACAGAGGTGTCACTCACACTGGTGTGACAGGGTCAGACATCATCCCAGGCACACCTGGGGGAGATCACAGCTCACCCAGCCCCACAGAAGTGTCCCAAACACTGGTGTGACAGGGACAGACAACATCCCAGGCACACCTGGGGGAGATCACAGCTCACCCAGCCCCACAGAAGTGTCCCAAACACTGGTGTGACAGGGACAGACAACATCCCAGGCACACCTGGGGGAGATAACAGCTCACCCAGCCCCACAGAAGTGTCACAAACACTGGTGTGACAGGGACAGACATCATCCCAGGCACACCTGGGGGGATATCAGAGCTCACCCAGCCCTGTTCTATCATCTCTGGAGGCACAGAGCAGGAAATGTGGCTCCCCATCCCACAGAGGTGTCACACACACTGGTGTGACAGGATCAGACATCATCCCAGGCACACCTGGGGGAGATCACAGCTCACCCAGCCCCACAGAAGTGTCACACACACTGGTGTGACAGGGTCAAACATCATCCCAGGCACACCTGGGGGAGATCACAGCTCACCCAGCCCTGTTGTATCATCTCTGGAGGCACAGAGCAGGAAATGTGGCTCCCCATCCCACAGAAGTGTCACAAACACTGGTGTGACAGGGTCAGACATCATCCCAGGCACACCTGGGGGGAAATCAGAGCTCACCCACCCTGCTCTAGCATCTCCTGAGACAACAAAGCCCAGTCATGCAGAAATCCTGCTCCCTGCACCGAAGAGAGGTTTTCATTCAGCTCTAGCCAAGCTTTTCATTGTTAAGCATTCCTTACTCTTGTCCTGATGAAACATTGAACAGCCTCACCTGCTCCCTGCAGGAGCAGAGCCAGCAGCTCCTGGGTGTGCAGGATGCAGAGGGAAGGGGCTGGGAGGGCTTCTTCCAAATCCTCTGCCCTCCAGCAGCAGCTTCTGGCTTCAAGGAAAAGGATCAGGTCAGGGCTAATTGCTGCTTTACAGAGAATTCATTAATTTTGAGGCATAAATCTGGCTGAAGTTCGCTCCGCTGCATGCTGAATGTGTCATTTTCAAGACAACAGACACAATCTGGATTGCCTTAAAGCTCCAGCTTGGTGTTATCAACTTCTCTCTCCTAATTTATTCACTTTCACCGGGTTTGAACTCAGCCCAAAATGTGCTGAGTGCTCCCAAACATTTCCAGGGCAGTGGTTTTCTCCTAGGACTGGGGTA